TGGCTGTGACAATGTATAAAATCCATAATAATCTTTCCCCATCGTATCTGAGGCGGATCTTTACCAACACCTCAAATGTACATTCACACAATCTTAGAAATTCTGAGTTAAATTATTATGTCCCCAGACCCAGAACTGAGTCTGCAAAAGGTAGCCTACACTACAGAGGATCTGTTCTGTGGAACAACATTCCCTCAAAGATTAGACAACTACCTAGTTTAAATGTTTTTAAAACTTCAATTCATGGGAAAGATTTTTCTAATACACCATGACCCATTGTAACTCTTATTATTCATAATGTGAGTTTTTGTATTTTTAACATTATAGTCAATAGTTCCTTAGAGTATTTTAGTTTAGTTTTAAACACGATTCCTAGGAAGACCATGTAAAATGATTGATGATGATTGATGATGAAAGATGTAAAAGGTTCAAGTTTCAGACTAGTCTCTCTCAGACTTTGTCTATTGAACACCAATCTTCACAGGAAAGGAAGGATCTTGAACACCTTAAAGGGATCTTTACTGAAGATGAGATACTTGGTTTATCTGCTAGCTGCGTTAATACATGTTGACGCCATACAAGATGGTTTCCAACAGGGAACATTCCTCATCAGTAGTAGAAGACCCTAACTGAACTCTGCTCCGTAACACTGTGACGTGTCTTAAGAGTGGAAAATGCCACCGCTAACGTGATTACTATAACTGTAACAATATCTCAATTTAAATGTTCTTAAAACATAGCCAGTCTCAACGTCTTAGTGATGCTAACAGTTTCAATGACTGCCAGCCATCTTTATCAAAACTTGAAAAACATTATCATTAAGACGTTAAGACTGGCTATGTTTTAAGAACATTTAAATCGACTTATTAACTTCCCTAGCCTGATGAATTTCTTCAAGATTGTGACAATATCTACCGCCACACCGTTGCCATAGCATGGAAAATTGCCACATTGTCCAGAGTGTTAAGAGACTTACATGGGTAGAAATATGTACAACAAACACACGTCCACAGCGTCATCTTCGGTAGGAAGAGGAAGCCAGCAGCCAGCGGCAAATGAAAGAACCAAGCTGAAGTTTTGGAACCACAACAGACTGCAAATCACTATACAGGCATCAGTAACAGTTCAACTGTGCTTTCTGTCGAGTCAGTGAACCCCACAACAGTTGTGATCAGAACACCAGTTCGTCCCCCAAGATCCTCCTCCAGCCGCCCGTTTGCTCATAAAGGGAATATCTGGCAAGAACGATGCATTTTCCTGTTATGGACGGTTCAAGGCGTACTGTTACTGGACCAAAGGCTCCACATCCTATCAGCTGTCGAGTGGTACGAGGTACTACCACACAAATCTAGTTTATACACAGATTTCTAAACGAGACCATCTTGTTGGGACCTAAAATCCCACCTGCATTTTGTAACCACTCTAGTTGACAGATGTTACGAAAACAAATTAGCTTGTCATAACTTTTGTCTCTAAGTGACGTTTTGAAACGTTCATGTAAAATGCCTATGCTGTAAGATCACATTTAGGTGTGATGTGTTTGGTATCTTGGTGTAATTTCACCATCACAAAGAAGCCCAGCTCACCAATTTGTTCGTGAGAACAAAAAAGGTACGTGGACATTAGTGTTAAACCACCGCCCAACCAACCTCAATGGAGCATACAACGGGCGGTTTTACACAACATAACTTAGGTATGTGAGGTACTGTAGAACGGTCACAGTTCGAAGATCACTTAGCAGTGGCAACTTTGTGAATGATAAATCGCCGTGATCGGCGGAAAATGGGCTGAAAGCAAGTAAATTAAAAGGAACAGAACACTTCCAAGTATGCTATACTATATTTAGAACCACCCATTGTGCCTAGAATAGCTATTAAGAAGAAAGTATGGTACACACCCATCTTTTTCACCACTTTTCGTACAGCTCAGTTGAACCAACGATAGGTCAAGGAGTTACTGATTCAGTGATTCAGGAATGTCCTTCACTCTATTACGAGGAAGTCCCCATTTATTATGACACTGGTCACCGCCAATTAAAGGATGAGGAATGCTTTGTCTCTGATAAATTAGATTTATCAGTTACAGCCTGCTAGGCTCTAGAAAGAAACACTAGAGACCAGGCAAATTCTCTCATTTGGATGGAGCAGCGAAAAAAAAGAGTGACTGCTTTTAAGTCTTATGATGTTTACAGCTGGAAGAGGGGTAAAGGAAGGCATGCAGAGTATTACTGCCAAATATTTTCTAGTTTTTTTGTATTTCCTGTTGAACCCTTTTAGTTTCGTTTGCGTTATTATCTTATAGTATTTGTGGTTTTCGCCGCGGATATACCTGCTTACGTATGATTTACAAACAAAGAAATTTATTATCCTTTGCATTAGTTAGTATTGTCGAACGTGCTCAAGAAACTTTTTCAGTTCTAGTCAACGTGTCATCGTGTTAAGTTCAAAGTAAGGCTCAACGTCAACGCCGTGAAATCCCTAAAGCGGACACAGAAGTAAGTCTTTTCACTTTATGATATGTTTCGTTTCGTATTAATGATATCCAAAGTTTGTTTTCGTAGTTTTAAGGTAGTTTCTAGTTAATCTAACTATAGTTTTCGCTGCATTTATTTCTTAGTTTTCGAAACCGCTTTGTACATCGTTTTTTTCGTTTACACCGCCTAATCATCGCTTCGCTTCTTTTCAACATTGTTAACGTCTCATCGCTTCGCTTCAATAAACTTTGTTTACATCCTTATCGTCGTGAGCATCATTATTGTAGCGAAAGTTCTTAAAGCGCGTCAAGAATTTTCTGTCTTAACATGGGATTAAACGATCGTCCCGTGAGTAACGTTTGCGCTCACATTTGTTTCGAAAATTCTTAATTGATTTGTGGATTCAGTGCGTGCCATACAACGCAAGATTCAAACACTTGACTCATCCAAATTACAATCGAAAACGTCCAAAATGGCAACGAACAAAGCCACGTGGTCAAACCAAGGAACACTGAGCGAAAGTGTTGACGTCACACTCAGAAACAGCGATGACAGAACAGAACTCACCCATCACATTCTTGAAGATATCGAAGAAAATTTGGACACTCTCAAAAACGAAAAGGGAAACGAAAACGCCAAAAACTTTGATACCGATAATGAAGAGTCTCAATGGATCCGAAAATTAACGGAAAAAGGCGAAGAAGAAAAAATTCGTCGGCTGAAACAACGACGAACAAACGCATTAACGGCGGTTTCCCACAAACGAACCGACATCAACAATTTAATGACCGACCAGAGAAACCTAGATGTTGTCAAAGCTGAACTCAATCAATTGGAGAGTTTATGTCAACAATTCCATGACGCCCATAATCTTTATTATGATGAATTAGCCACACCGGAAGAAACGGAAATCGCCTCACGTTATTTTAATGACAAGGAAAGTGACATTTTCGAGTACCGCAAGGAAGTTACGAATTGGATTCTTGAGTGCGAAGCAAGAATAAGCCATCATTTAGGAAGATTATCGGCTAAGCGGTCAGTTAAGTCACGCTCATCACGTTCCTCACGTTCATCAAGGTTGTCACGCTCTTTGCAGTCTGCTCGTATGAAAGAAAAAGCCAAAGTCGCCGAATTAATGGCAGAACGCTCCTTGCTAAAAGAAAAAATCAAACAGCAAGCCGCTGAAGAACAATTACAAATGGACCTCGAAAAAGCCGAAGCCAAAGCCAGAGAACGGGCGTTCAAAGAATTGGAAAGGGAACAAAAACTGAAATTACCGGAAGTAGATGAAGGAACACATGATTCTTTTCTCGCGTTAACAACACCCGCTACTGGTCGTAAACACGAATCGCCGTCGATACCTGGCAATTTCCCGATTCACTCCCCCAGTATCAAAACAGAACGCGAAAAAAGAGAACTCTCACCGCTCAATTCAGAAAAACCTGAGTTTTATTACCATGCCTTTCCCGCTGAAACAAAGAAAGAAGAGGTCACACATCTAACCAATATGGAGAACGAAATGCTAAAGGAAGTTTTTAAAATTCAGCACCAACAAATACAGGGAATGGTAGCCTCCCAGAATCCATTAGCAACTGCAATTTCCCTCCCTAGGGTACCCTATGGAGTTCACATTTCTGATGGCGTTCGATGCGTGCGTTCAGTCAAGAGTAACCAACAGCGCAGACAGGCTCTACTACCTTGACCAGCATCTCGTAGAAGAACCCAAAGAACTGATAAGCGGATGTCTCCATATCGAACCGGACGAAGGCTTTAAGGAAGCTGGACGCCTTCTTCAAAAGGAATATTATTATTCTCCCGACCAACTCATGAGTTTCAGACCAAGCTGTTTTTCTACCAAGCGCTTAAATCCACAGCTCATCCACAAACTGAAATATTTAAACATCTTAAAGTACAGGGGGAAGTCTGGTACGAGAGTAAATAAGGAACGAGAGTAAATAAGGAAGCTACCAAAATACCAATTATTAATAAGGAAAGATTTATCTTACAACATAATCTTAACCGAAGAGCGAATTTGCATAATCTACGATCACTGAACCGTTGCTCGAACGTCAACATTTGTGACCACAACGAACGATCCTTTATTCCGGTCACAGAAAGGTCAGGATCTGGTCTCAAAGTCCTTCACTTAAACATCCGTTCACTTCGAAATATCTCCCATCGATCTCAGCTTAGAGAATTAAATAGTCGCGAACAGTCTGATATCATAACAATCTCTGAATCTTGGCTGAACACCACCATCACATCCACTGAGATCCAACTTGACGGCTACAAACTATTTCGTTTGGATCGCCTGCATAAAGGAGGAGGTGGAGTATGTGCTTACGTACGCAGTGAGCTTAAGTCCAAGGTTCTTAAAGATTTTTCAAGTATTTCTGACCGCAATTTCCATCAGCTCTGGCTAAGTGTTCAGGTTAAAAAATCCAAGTCGATTGTGCTCTGTGTAGCATACCGCCCCGATGACACACCTCTCAGCTTCTTTGAAGATACATTGAAACCGGTCTACACCCAAGCCCTGTTATTGAATAAGCCAATAATTATCCTTGGTGACTTAAATTGCGACGGTCTCGATAGCTCTTGCCGTGAGTATGCAGCCATCAATAGTTTTACACGTGAGATGAACCTACAGCAGTTAATAAAAGAGCCTACCAGGATTACGGCCACTACCGAGTCATTATTAGATGTCATCTTAGTCTCGGACCCCTCGTCTGTTCGTAAGAGCGGTGTCATTAACAATCCAATCAGTGACCACCTTCCTGTTTACGTTGTTTTGAAACTGAAATCTCCTAAGATTTCTCCTCATTATGTAACAGTGCGCAGCTACAAGAACTATGACCCCGAAAATTTCACCTTCGACTTGGCGTCTCATTCTGACTCCTTACTTTCAGTGTTTGCTGCACCTGATGTAAACAGCAAGTTTGGCATTTTTAATAATGCTTTTCGCCAAGTACTTGATGCACACGCTCCGGTAAAGACAGTCAAGATTCGCAACCGCCCATGCCCATTTGTCACCGAAGAGATCAAGGATCTTATGAAAATAAGAAACCGTCTCCATCGTCGTTTTCTCTTAACGCGCAATGAATTTGACTGGGCAGAATATAAAATCTCCCGCAATAGTGTGAAAAAAGCTCTCATTGAAGCTGAAAAACATCATACATATCAAGAAGTTCAGAATAATATGAACAACTCGAGATCCCTTTGGAAAGTGATCAACAACATCGTTCCATCGAAAACACAAGAGAAACTCGTCTATTCTAAAGACCTCAAGACCGTGGCAAATGAATTTAATTCATATTTTTCATCCGTAGGAAGCCGCACGGCTGAGGCTGTTGCAAAGCTGGCATTAGAAAATAATATCATCTGTTCAAACTCATCCATGCCAGATCTTGTATCATCTTCCGATGATTGCTTCAGGTTCACTCCCGTGAGCATCGAAGTTGTAAGGCGTACCATCTTGTCTTTACCATTGAACAGAGCTCCAGGACCTGATAAAACCAAAGCTAGAGTATTCAAGGACGCCCTACAAGTAATACTCGGGCCTATTACTGAGATAATCAACTGCTCACTCGTTACTTCTACTTTTCCATCAGACTGGAAGATCGCTGAGGTCATCCCACTCCTAAAAGAGGGAGACCACGAACAGCCTCCGAATAATCGGCCATTGTCACTACTTAATGTTGCGTCTAAAGTTTGCGAGAAAATCGTTCTTGAACAATTTATCACCTACCTGATGTCACGTAACCGCTTGTCATCCCACCAAAGCGGCAACAAGTCACTCCATTCAACTGAGACCTTGAATATTTACACCACGGATCTAATTTTAGAGGCGATGGACAAAAAGGAAATAAGCGCATTAGTCCTACTCGACCTCTCAAAGGCTTTCGACAGTATTTGCCATCAGAAGTTACTCCAGAAGCTCTCCGCTGTAGGTGCCTCACCCGCCGTAGTTCAGTGGTTCCGCAGCTACCTTTCAGACCGGACCCAATCAGTGCGTATCGATTCTGTGCTATCAGATCCATTACCAATCACACACGGAGTCCCCCAGGGAGCGATTCTTTCGCCGCTCCTCTTCTGTATTTATCTAAACGATCTGCCAGGCGCTCCTCAATTCTGCCAGCTCGAGTCATACGTCGATGACTCTAAAGTTTTGCTATCTTTTTCCGTAGCCGATGTCATTGATGCAAAGTTCAAGCTCGAAGATGATTTGCGCAATGTTGCCACCTGGTGTTGCACAAATGATTTGTTAATAAATCCTGAGAAAACGAAGTTCATGTTGATCGGCACCAAGCAAATGATAAGTAAACATTCAGTTAATTTTACTGTTTCGTTTATTGGAAAGACTCTTATGGCTGTCGAATCAGCAAGAGATCTAGGAGTATACATAGATTTACACCTGACCTATGACACTCATATCTCTCACTTAGTCTCTTCTTGCTTGACTAAACTGGTTCAGATCAACCGCGTGAAATATTGTTTTGATAGGAAGACTTTGGTTTTAATTATTACATCTCTTGTCTTTAGCAAAATGCTCTACTGTTCGACCGTGTGGTCTAATACCTCATCTAAGAACATTGAAAAGCTGCAACTTATTCAGAATTTCGCCTGCAAAATTATCTGCGGCGCTCGGAAATATGACCACGTGACGCCATTACTTGATGAACTCAACTGGCTTCCAGTTAGCAAGATGCTCAAATTCAGAGACGCTGTTATGGCTTATAAGTGTGCCAGCAATTTAGCTCCTGAATACCTATGTACTAAGTTTAAAAAACGATCTTCTGTACATAATCGCACAACCCGTAATAATGAGAAGTTCGAAATCCCATTATTCAGGTCTGCCACCGGCCAACGAACCTTCGCCTATAGAGCAGTATCCCTGTGGAACACGTTAGACGAAGACCTTAGAAACGTTACAACTGTAAAGGCCTTTAAGAAAGCCCTGAAACTTGTAATGAATGAATGATTGTATGACAGTTAGCATTTAACAATATTAGCTTGTTAGATATAGTTTGCATTTATATTTGTAAATAGGTACTGAAAAACCTTTTTTGGGAGAATTTATTAAAGTTTTATTATTTATTTTATTATTTATTAATATGGGGATCCGTACAAAGTCTCCACAGCGTACATGAAAAGGCTAACCAAGTGGCCAATTCTCAAGTATGACAATGGGCCTGCTCTGAAGAGCTCCTATATTTTCCTTAGTAAGTGCAATTGTGCTATGAAAACCATCTCACACTTGGCCGTCCTAAACCATCCTCCAAACATGCAGGCAGTAGTGCAGAAGCTCCCCTTCGCTCTACAAACAAAGTGGCGCAAAAACGTAGTGAAAACGAGACACAAAGACGGCAAGGTTGCAGGCTTTACAGAACTAGTAGAATTCTTAGAATATGCTGCCGAGTCTGCAAATGATCCAGTTTATGGCAAAGAAGCGCTTAAGAGTGGCTTTCCGTAAATATCGACCCATGGTCTGCACAAGTTAAAAAATTTGATTTCGCTCATATTTGGTTCATCGATAACCCTTAACATAGTTAATAGAGGGAATGGTTATGAAACCTGACAAAGTTCTTTGTTGTATGTTTTTGTTCTCTTTTTTGGCCTTGACCCTGCACAAAACACAATAGTTGTTTACTCCGTACTGAGGAACTAACCAATAGAAACGTGCTGGTTACGTAATTCATGCATAACGTATGAACGCAAAACAAAAGATTGTGCAGGGTCGTGGACCTTCTAACATAAATCTTGGCATCTTTGTTTGTTCCTTTGATGTTTGCCGGGCTTCATAACCAGTCACCTCCATTAACTATGCCCTTAATGAGTAATGAAACACGCTGTAGTTAGTTTTCCCAAATAACGAATTCTTTTGTTAAAATTCGAGAAAACTCATTTTGCCCGTTCAGAGCACAAAATCCACTTCCGGTAAAGCGAAATTTTACACAAATTCTATCTATTCGTACGTCACACCACAACAATTTGGCAGCCTTTGAAGAACGCGAATAGTTTTTATGACTCTTTCTTTATTATAAGGCGATAAATTTGTGAAAGCTGTAATAATTTTGTGGCCAAAAAGGTATTGTTAAAAATAGGCACCATTGACAATTTCTGCCGTTCAAAATTAAAGGGATAAAATAATGCAAATTTTTACAATGCGCTATAACTTGAAACTCCGAAAATTGACTTTCCACTGCTTAACTAGGCCCCAATCTATCAGAAAATCGAAACAAATCTCTGGGCTAACGATTTTAAGTAGCCTGCAAGACGTTGATTTTAACCCTAATTTTGCAAAAAAAACGTGACATTGCCGTGGTTAAAAATAGCGTTACACGGCCCGTCACGCCAGTGTTACCGATAGATATGCTTTAAACAAGGCAGATTAAAAGCCAGTTCGAAATTAAATCTTTCAGTAAACCTATTATTCTCATTGATTGCAGCATTTTCTTTAGATACAACATTTAGGGTCCCTGGGATAACGTCACACACTTTCATGTTCAGTTAGCCTGCGAGCAAGCTCTCCTATTTGGGCAAGCAAAGCGAGCCTCACGAGAACTGGCGATTTCCCTCAAAAAATGGTATATAAACAGAACAAAATCTCAAAACTAAAACTGATTACTGAATGAATTTTTGCATTGAGAGATATTTGGGAATTAAATCATCGCCAATCAATGCCATTTGGTTTATAAAAACTAA